TGTTTCAATTTTCTGGAAAAGTAAGATAAGATTCTAATGATTTATTCATTGTATTACTTGTTAAAATTTTCCAACAAAGCTAAATGGGATAGGGCTTTCTGTTGACTGAAAGACACTAGTGTGACTGATTTGTCACACTAGTATTCAAGTTTTCCTGCCCTATGCCCAATCAGAGAACACTCTGTACTTTCAATTCCTCCAAATAGAGAATCTTTTTTTTTCTTTAATTTTCCTTCTCATGTTGAGAATTCATAGGATACAAAACAGGTAAGTGGGATGTAAACCTGAATAAAATTAATTTTGCACTTAAATTTAATTAAACTTTACATATCTACCCAGTAATAAGGGAAAACTACATAACCTGTCTTAGAATTATTCAAAAATTTTCCTTTAGGAGTAAATATACAATCTTATTTCATATAATTCCTCGTAGTTGAATTAAAAATATATATAAGGAATTAGAATTTTAATATACAATTTTGAAAAATATAATCAATGGACTGTTATTAGCCAAGTCTAAGGGTAGATAGTACTGGCACTCCAAGGTCCTGGACCTTATAAGGGCAACCTTTGAAATGGTGTTTTGAAGGAAAAGTGGCAAGAAATGTGTAGTTGAAAGGTCCTTGGAAGGACTGCAAACACATTTGGATGCATGAAACATGTTTTGTAAGTCTTGGCCTGGAAAAGCGCGCGCGCGCACACACACACACACACACACACACACACACACACACACACACACACACAAGCACGAAACAAAGAAAACTTTTGGAGATGCAGCAGAAGGTGAGGTCAGTAGAAATATAGATGTGACTGTGTGGCTGGCCCACTAAGAGAAACAACTTCATTTTAAGGTGACATTAAGCTTGAAAATGGGGAGAGACATCCATTTAGTCCTTCTAGAGACAGCTTAGACCATTATGATCAGCCATGAGCCATATATTGTATAGTGCTGAGAAGAAAACTAGGGAGAATTCAAGCAGGCAGCCCACAAGGAAGGGACCAGAGTGCATCTCGCAAAGTGACTCAGAATTAAGTCATCTTTGGATGAGTCAGTGAACTAGACAGAAGCCTGTTTGTTATGACTGGAAATGGAAACAAGGGTACAGTCATGAGGAGCTATGAGAAATGATGTTCCTTCTTTGAAATCTCATCACACCAAGAGACCCAAGAGGAAGACGTTAGCCAAAGGGAAAGGACACAGGGAAAGAACATCTAATTCATCATAATACTCCATTTAAATACTCCAGCAAGATGTGGGTTTTCACAAGAAACAGTGAATCTCCAGGCACTAACATACTCAAGTATAGGCAGGCTGTCATAATCATTGCCGTCACCATCTTAGCTAATGTTTATTGTGAGCAAACTAGGCTGTGGTCTGAACATCCTGATTTACCCAAGAAGAAACCAATCCTCCAAAAAATACAAGTTTGACTAATATTCAGTGGAGCTGAGATTCAATGGCAGAGGTAGCTTTGGGGAGAAATGGCTGGGGTTTAATTCTAGTCAGCTGCTAGTGTACAAAATGGCATGGTGGGCATTTGTGGTTTTTGCATAGCCCCTATTCATTCACACAGCAACCTGCACATTTTCTAGGACCCAGTCCTTCCTAACTCCCCACTCATGTGGTTCTGTCACATCCCATTGCCATCTCCTTTTCTGAGGTAGCGCATGGTCTCAACAGACAACTGATACACGGTGTCTACCTGCAATGATGATGTGTCAGTTCAGAAAGAGGTTGCCAGGGTTGGATGAAAACAGAAAATCCGATTGTATATGGACTTTGTGTAATTGGTATTTCATAGTGATGTGAGTGGGACAGTGTGAAGGTCCGTGCTGTGGGACCTAAAAGCAAAGCAATACAACAGAAGGACGCTTAACCACAGCTTTCAGGGCTACCACTGAGGCCCAAGTCAAGTCAATGCAAAGTCTGATCACCCATGGACCTCTGATATTCCAACAAGGTGTTGCTCTTCTCCCTCCTCCTCTTCCTTTTCCCTTCCTCTTTCTTCCCCTTCTTCCTCTTCCTCCTTTCCCTTTCTCTCCTCTTCTTCCTCCTTCTCCTCCTCCTCTTTATTCACACCTTGCTGTTTCTCCTCTCCTCTTCTCCTTTTCCTTTCTTCTCCTCTTCTTCCTCCTTTGTCCTCTTCATTCTCCCCCTCTTCCTCTCTTCTTTCTTCCTCTCCTTTTCCTTATCTTCTCCATCAAGTCATTTATAGCAAGGGCTGCTTTTCTTTATTACTTAAAGTGTTACTGCCCAGTAAAATGCATAATAGGATTTCTGTTTTTCAGTTCAGTTCTCAGTAATGCTGATCTAGCTCACACAAATGGATTAATTAATTCAACATTCAACATGAAAATTGTCTGACATTATTATTATAATGCTATTGTAGGTTTTGTCATTGAAGAGATGACCACTAACCTTTTTTATTTGTAAGAGTAGAAGTCCAGGAAAATGAAGATTAGGATGCCACAGATCAAAGAAGACAGTCACAGATCAAAGACAACAGTCTAAAGACCAGGATACTACAGATCAAAGAGGACAGTCACAGATCAAAGACAACAGTCTAAAGATTAGGATACTACAGATCAAAGAAGACAGTCACAGATCAAAGACAACAGTCTAACGGTGAGAAGCAAGTACAGTAATGAAGAAAGACCCCCGAGGAGCTCACTAAAGCTGCTCACAGGGAGCATCCAATGAAGACTTGCAGAGCAAAGGACTCAACTACTCAAAATCCTTTCTGTTCTGCAACTCACATGAACTGTGGATGGGGCTTTATAGTCATGTCAGTCCTCACAACCAAAATCCTGGGACATGTAGGTCCAGTCATTCATAGGTCAAGTTACTATTGATTCTATGACAATTTTTTCAGAGTGGCAGATCAAATGAACCAAATCATTTGTTTATTTAAAATGCTTGCAGTGAATTTAGAGTTGATTTTGTGTTTCAAAGATCTATTTGTCATTGAAATAACATTTGAAGAGCCTCACAAGTATGAGCTAAGCTCCTGGCAGCCTGAAAAAGAGAATTCATTTTTATATAAATTTGTTGGTCTCAATTCTACTTCCCATAGTTTTAAATTGCCTGGTGTGTTTGTAATTTCTATGAATTTTTTTTTCAAAAAATGTTTTCAAGGTGATAAAAATAAAAGCATAATTGGCTTTTCTGGACCTGCATCAAATTCAATTAAATATGAAGCAAAATTAGCAATTTGATCCTGAGGCTAATGGAAATTAGAAACAAACCACTGGCTAATATTACAAATGGCAAATCTTCACAGAGAAGCACAGGCTAAGTGACACACCTCACTGTCCTAGGATGTCAGACATATCTGGGCATCTATCAGACAGTGGGCTAGATGGGCCAGGAGTCTGGGGTGACATTGAGGAGCCTCTTTAGGAGTGTCTGATACTTGAGTTTGAGGTGGGGACAAAACCTTCATCCTTGGCAGGCAGTAGGCATTCTAAGAATGAGGTGTTAGAGGCAGGTGGCATGAAGTGGGGTGTGTGAGAAGATGGTCTGGGACAGGAACTATGCATATGTGGACAGTTAATTTCAGATTTCAGGAAAAGAAAGAGAGTGCTTTGGTGTTTTGATTACTTTTCAGCAATGGGGTTAAACCTCTTGCCTTGCTCATCTGGGTGAGAGGTCTACCATTGGAAAGAGTATCCTACTCCCCATCTTACTGCAAATACAATAAAACAGTGTGGAACCTCAAATAGGCAGCCTAATTTGGGACTGTCTACCAAGGCCTAACACCAGGGAGAATGATTGTTGTTCCACTTCCAGAGGCCACCATGTGGATCTCTGGGTCTGAGGACTCATGGCTCCTGAAACTTCACAGGAGGACAGAGGCCATCATTCTGGCAGGGTAGCACAGAGGCTCCCTCCATATGGTTCCTACTGGGAGCAGAGTCATAAGAAGGATGCTACCACAATGTACAAAGACGGGAGGCCTGGTCAAAAGGACATTGACTGTGGGCTGGCCTGGGCACACTGGGCACAGGGCACATTCAGGACATCCAAGAAACCCTGGGATTAGGAGCAGAGGAGCACTGTGCGGTCTGAATAAACAATTATGGCAGTGATTCCTGTGGATCTCATGAATTTTTATCAATGAGGACTAGGAATATCTCAATGCATATCAAGTAATATTGTCCTCTGGCCTGAAATGCCTTACCCCCCTAAAAAACCCCAAAACCAAAACACAAGGTTTTAGATAGATAACAATCCTCCCCCCCCACCCCGCCCAAAAGGACATGCTATTCGTGTACTAGTTTGAACTCTTTGATTCAAATGATGTAACAACAAAGATGTCCTTATTTATTCAGGTGGTATTTAATGCACTTGTAAATTAGTTTCAAGTCATATTTGAGTTACAGAAGTCATCACATGTCTTCCTGTGTATCTTATCTTTTGTTCTGATCTTTTGAGACAAGATGTCACTATGTACTTCTAGCTGTCCTGGAACTCACTATGTAGAGCAGGTGGACCTTGAACTCCCAGAGAACCCCTGCCTCTGCCTCCCAAGTGCTGGGATTGAAGATGTGTGCCAACATGCCTGGCTCAGTGTATTTTGTATCAGTAAAGATACTTCTTATTTTTGGAAAAGAAAAGAGAAAAGTGCGTTTACATTATTCACTGAGAGACCTGTCACAGAATGGGTTCTCCACAGCCAGGAATTGGACACTTTGGCAGGAATCATGAGCTACACAGCTATCTGGAGTGAGAATCATAGGACTGGCAGCAAGCTCATTCTTTCTCAGTGAATCTAAGTACTCCACTTTCCAAGTGAAGAAACACACTCAGCTGGCCCAGGAGACATTATGGTGTGGTTGTGAGTCAACCATTGGCAAAGCAGAAAAACAAAACAAAACAAAACAAAGCAAAACAACAAAACCCTAACTGTTCTGTTGGTGTCCTAGGCCTCACTCACAGGCACCATCAGCAATTCATTTCGTTTCTGTTAACCACATCCCCAGTTCTTGCACTGTACCTTGGAGAATGCTCATTATTATCCCCTCTGTGTGATCAGCCAGGAGATCTGCCTTGGTGATAGCAGCCAGGGACAGGTAGTTGGACATGTTCCTACACAGCTCCTTGTTGCCTCTGTGGAGGAATTTCACTGCAATGGGGACAGCTAAGACCATCACAGGGGTCCGGTTGTAATTCTGAGGAAATATAAGAAGGCAACAAACAAGTAACTCTTTGTCCATTAGTTATTCATTCACCTAAAAAATATTTGCTGGGCTCCTTGAGCACAGCTGTGAAAATAAGGGTCCTGACCTGTTTACACAGCATCCCCTCTGCTCCCCCCCATCCTTCATCTTATAAGAAGTCTCAGGAGTGATTGATAGCATCAGCTGGAGGTATGACCTGTGAGGTGCAGGATGCTAAGGAACACCCATCCAGCCTGGAGGTGTCAACAAAGACTTCTAGAGGAATGGGTGCTTTTGATGGGACTGAAAGGATGGGTTGAGGTAGCTAGGTGATGGTGAGGTAAAGACTGGAGAGGAAAGAGCCACTGTGGAGGTATAGAGGTGAGCAAGAGTATACCTATGGATCTGTGGATAACTCAGTGTGGTTGTAGGGAAATTGTCAGGAGCTGGGAAAGCCAAAGGGCCTGGGTATATCGAGAGGCTGGAGAGTTTGGAAATAATCCTGGGGCTATCAGAGGTCAAGGGAAGGGACAGATCACCAGATTTATAGTGGAGAAAAACAACTGAAGAAATGTTGACAAGCTTGATGGACGAGAAAATGTGATATATATATATATATATATATATATATATATATATATATATATAAAACATAAAACACACATAAATAATATTTGCTCATAGGAAGCATACACTAATATTTTCAACAACATGGATGGATGTGAAGAGTACTGTAAAGTTAGCTAGATGTGGAAATACAAATATTACATATTCTCGCAAGTGTAGTTTAAAAAGGTGATTTCACATAAATAGATGAACTCTTCACTTCAGCCCCAGCTAAGGCATCTATTCCTCCAGAAGTCTTTCTTGACACTTTCTGGCAGGAAGGGAATTGAAAGAGATAGGATAACAGGTGCCAAAAACATTTGTATAAGACAAGTGCTAATATTTAAAGCATGGCAGGACAAATGACTAAAGTGCAATGGGCAGGAAATACTAGCTGCCTTGACACCTTACACATTACAAGTATTGACTGAGACACAGTGCACTCAGGTATATAGACAGCTACTATGTGTCAATGAACACTAAAATTTTAGTCAAACATTCAAACAGAAAAATAGACATAACACTAAAATCTAAAGGCATTCTAGATTCTAAAATTATTCTCTTATTTACTCTGTGACTCACCTTACGCATCTCCTAAATGCTGACATTGGTACTTAGCTAATTAGGGAATTATTATAGATAAATTGTATATATTCATGACCACTATCCCCACCACTTCGATTGACTATGGGCAGAACTGTTTTATATACAATGAGTTTTGGAGCTGTCTTAATTTTGCTATATCATTATATTATAAATAAAGGGGGTTGCTCTTCTTTGTGTGAAAGATACTTGTCATTCCATCCATAGGCTATGCTTTCTACTACTTCCAACAATTCTAGGCTAATAATAAGTGAATAAAATCCAATTAGGCTGAGAGGTGACCACTTTCTACCACCCACATAAAAATCTGAACATGGTGGCATGTGCCTGTAATACCAGCACTGAAAAGGCAGACACAGGAGAATCCCCAGGGCTTGTTGCCTGTTAATCTTGTCAAATTGATGATTTTTATGTCTCAAAAATAAAATAAAAATGTAGCAATAGAGGAAGACACCCAGCATCAACTTCTGGCCTCCATATGCAAGCACACACAGAGACATACAGACACACAGGCATACACAACATATATACATGGATGTAGCACATATACACAAGCAGGGAATAGGTAGGAAGAAAGAAGATAACGTATATAGATGGTGACGGCTGTCATTGCAAACACAATGTGTTGGGAAGCGCATGTGATAGAAAACAGACTGTGGATTCCACTCTGGGCTTTGTCACCCTTTTGCTAGATGGTCAGAGAGATATCACCCAATTCTCCACATTTGTAACAGTGACTGTCATCATATTTTCCTATTAAGCAGTCTCTGATAAATATGTCTCAGGGCAGACACAATATCAACTGACTGGCACAAGAGGACTTTCCTGGTTGCTAAAGGACAAATGACCTTGGAGAGAATGTCAAAATGACTACCATCCAAATAGGACATACACTGAGTAACCGTCTAAGTTCAATCTGATCAGATTATGGTCATTGAAGGGAAACCTGGAATGGTGGGTAAGGGTAATGGGACAGAAACTTCTACATCTCCAACAGTAAATGTGTATTTCCTTTTATTCTTTAGTAATTCATTTCTGGTTTTCTGCTGGAGATAGCCACATGGTTGCAGACAACATTTTAACATTTTTTTACCTTTTTTTTTTTTCAAACAGATGTGGTGACATACAAAGATTTAGATAATGAGATAAAGAAGGCTTATTGTGTTCAGTCTTTAGGCTACTATTAGAGTGATGGGACTTGACTCTTTTAATTCATTTTTCTCTTTAAATCTAGCTGGAACAAGGACCTGGTAACAAGGACTGAAGCAGTTGTCTAGAAACTTTGCAATATAGAGAAAAGGGGTATTCATATCAGCTCTGGACTGACACTTCTGAATTGTCCAATTTGAGATAAAAATGTTCTGTGTAGTTTAACTGACTGTCCCATTTAGGCCTTTGTTATGGCAGCTGAGCCTGCATTCTGACTAGAACAGTAATAAGCCTGGATCACTTTCATTCTTGTAGCACCCTCTGTAGCTTAAAGGGAAAGTTATATCCTTAGACCATATGGAATATACCAAACTCTATAATAAAGACTAAAGAAGGAACATGAGGCCAAGTTTGCCACTGATAAACAGGGTCTCAAAGAAACATCCTTAGATGCAGGGTGGTTAGGTCAAAAAGGGTACTTGATGGGAGAAACCAGTGTCTTGGCCCTTATACCAACCAAAACAAAAATAAATTCCAGGTAAATTGTGTACCTAATAGTAAAAGACAAAGTAAAGGTGGAAAAAGAGCATATTCAATGTCCCCACTGGCTTTTGGTCAGTGAGAAGTTCCTTAAATCTAACTAAAATATCACAAAAAGGGGGGGGGGGAATGTAGAGTGGATAAGGACTTCTAACCCAGTGATATTCTAAGAGAATGAAAAGATAATCCAAAGGACATATAGGCATGATCCATTTATTCAACAAAGGTCTAGCTATTACCAGAATATATCCATACAAAAAAACTTGGAATCAGCATGAATAAGGCACTCGGCCAAAGGAGAAAACAGACAAAGGATTTAATCAGATATCTCACCAGTAGGGATGCAGAAATTGACCAAATACATGAAAATTTGGTCACTTTCATTAAAGTTAATTTTGGTCTTGGATTATCCACAAGTCATCATCCAGGTATGCACTCTTCTCTGAAAATGGCACAGCTCTCTTATTCAGTTTTCAGTTATTTTTTAAGTGGACTAAAACTTGGTATAAGTACATTACTGAACATTCTATGTACCACTCGTTTTAAGATTTTGTGAATGACCATGACATAAGTGGTGGGTGCAAGACAGTCAACAGTACAATAATGACAGTGTCAGTGCCAGGAGCACTCATTCTGTTCACACTGAGTATGTGAGTCAAGCATAGGAAATGTTATAGAGTAGCTGAGACACTGTGTGTTGGAAGCAGTAACTTTGGAACACTTATATCTTCGTGTTGAGTCCATACTACTCCCTAACGCGACAGAAGATGTTATTGCTGTGGATTCCCTTCTACCTCCATATCCCAGCCTCACTAAAGCCTGCCCATTATCCTGCTTTCCTTCCTTTGGAGATTCTACATTAATTCCTCCTTGGGGACTTTTCCCGTTCTTCTGCTTATGGCATTTCTACCCCTGGTCTCAAAAGTGGTTAAGTGACTCAGCCTAACAGAGAGCCACATTTTCCTAGTGCAAATGATGGCTCAAGAATAAGCACTTCATCAAATTCTTTTGCTTAAGCATTCCTAGTCACCAGGAACAAGCAAACAAGCAAGCAAACAAACAAATATGTTTTAACACATTCTTATATTCCATCAATTTTCCAGATACTGAGTCAGGATCATGGCCTGCCTTGAGACATCTCTGATTGCTTATCAGATTATCTTCATCTGCCTTCCTCACCTTTTAGCAAGCATATGTGGGGCTGACTGGACTGGCCATTGTTGGTGTGGTAGATTATGAGGCCTCCCTGGTGGACAGACTTATCTTCTTTCCCAGTCCTGGCACTCATTCACATAGAATTGCTTGGATCTACTGAGGCCAACTCACACCATGGGATTTCTAGAAGAATGACATAAAATAGTGAAGCCAAGGGACTCATCTACAGCAGGAGACTTTTATCTGGTCAGATCAGAACATCCCTTGTACATTATCAAGGTACCAAGAAGCAAGGCCAGAAACCAGAGTCTTCACTCAGCACAAGATAAGGTGAGCTGAAAGAGACCCTGAGATTATTCCATCAAGACCATGGTAGAATCTGGTTAAATAATGCACTTATTCTACAACCATCTGTGATGACCAGAACATTTCACTTACCAAAGTCAGTCTGTAATACCTGCTCTGAGTAGCACTTGTGCCAGAATAGTGATCCATCTTTGTTTTGCTAATACACTCTTCAGACTGTGGTGTTCAGCAAGGTTAACTTATTTTTATTTTCACTTTTCTCAATTATGCTATATTGTTGCTTCTTTGGATTCACATTCAAGTTACTTTTGTCATAGCACAGGATGCTACCCCAGCCTCCGGTCTTGTCATGGACTCTGTTTATAGCCATCAAATTACATCCAAATATGTAAGGAGGCTTCTGACTGTTAAACTTTCAAGAGCTAAACTTGTCCCTATAATGACTGGTCATAGCCCTAACATTGGGAACTTTTCAAAAAGAACTTCATGTCAAAGGTATTTTTCCACACTGAGTGTTTTTTTGGCCAAGAATAACTTGAAAGTAGAAGAGTGAAAACCTTTTATTAGAGGAATAGATCCTCAGGCATTTTTAATTTTTTTTATTATTTATTTTTAGATGGAGTCTTACTGTGTAGCTCTGTCTGGCCTTGAACTCACTACATAGACCAGGATGACCTCAAGCTCACATAGATTTGCCTGCCTCTGCCTCCCTAGTGCTAGCATTAGGGCTGTATACTATAGTCTCAAGCATATTTCATGTGTAATGTAAAAAGCCAAAGGTGGTGGCAACAGAAAGTGGCCCTTGCTAACTGTGTGCACAGACAACACAGAGAGGGATCTGGTGGATGGAAATCACTATTTTCTGTTTTAAACTCTGGAGTTAGCTAGGCCTTGACAGCAGCACTGAAAGACCAGACCTTCTGACCCAATCAGACCGATTTCTTTTTAGAACAGTTCTGGATGCCTCTGAAGTGTGCATCCAATACAAAAAACACAAAACCCTCCCCTCAAGCGTATAGTGTCATCACTAAAAGACAAAAACAAAATAGCCTTCAACACACTCAACTTTTCTGTCTTCTCCCTGCCCATATAATTTGAAAACCTCTCAAATGAATCAAAAAGAAAAACATTAAGCAAAGTGCAAACAGTTGATCTAAATTCTAAGCAGTCACCACCATTCCATCTCGAAAACAGTGTCTAGACAGCTCCGACCATATCAAAAGCCACAAGCTCTGCTGACAATAACAGGATGTGAGTAAGGGTCTAGAGGCCAGGGTGACATTGACAAAGAAGAGTGCTGGACCTAACAGATAGCAAACAACTTATTCCCATCAGCTGAACTTCATTTCAAAGGCATCTAATGCAGTAGATCTGGGCACAGCCAGTTATTTTATCTTTAGAGTTATTTGGATCACAGGGTTGCTAATGGGATACAGGCAGAGAAAAGTCCTGTGTCACCATTCTACAACAAATAAACCACTCTAACAGCAGCTGATAATGTCACAGCCTATGGCAGGGCTTGGCCCTCAGCATAGATGTGAGCGGGCTGGTGTGAATATTATCTTACAAGTTCAGAGCTCAGGGAACAAATGGAGGGCGCTGCAGTATGGAAATAAACTTAATCCCGAGGACTGCCACACCTCAGTGGAGATGTGAAACAAGAGGGCCTTGTTCCACAATGCCAAGGATTGCATTTCTCAACTTGATTAGCACCATTTGAGCTCTTGGTAGAGATTTTCCTTTTGAAAATGCACTCTGGGAACCTTTCTGAGTGTTTTAAAACTGGAAGGAATACAGCAAAGGAGACGAGATACAGATCTCGGGTGACAACAACAGAGAGGCCCCTCTGCCTCCAGGTATTGAATTCAATTGGAGCCATGGAAAAGCAACAATCTCAAGAGATGTTCAAGTTCATCTTTTCAATTAGGGTTCTTCGGATATTCATCCAACCTCATCAAGCAGGCACACGGAATGCTTGAGTCTTGCCAGTGTAGCTATCTAGAAATCTAATTGACACAGACATCTGTTTGTCTCAGTGGGATTCTTGTAAGGTGAGAATGGAGCAGGTCTGTTGATTGTCCCCATCCTTCACATTTCATCATCCTGTCCAAGGATCAAGTTCAGAAGCCCACTGGAGAGAAGTCTAGTTGCTAAGGAAACCACATGGTCACTACTGCTCCTAAGCCCATACATTACTTCATTCTGTTGATACTACTTGAGTACCTACTGTTTGCCAAGTGCTCATTTAGGTGCTGGGAATACCTCAATGGGAAAAAAAAATAACATAATTTGGGAGACTAGAGACAAACAATCACCAATGGTTTTAATTACTGAATACACAGCTTGTTGTAAAGACTTGAATGCTGGGCTGGTTGGTGGCTTAGTGCATATAGTACTTGCCACACAAACATGAGGGCCCTAGTTAGCGCTCCCCAAACACACATTAAAGCAGTGAAGAGTAATGGAGGAAGATATCCATTGTCAACCACTCGCCTTTACATGTATACCGAACACACCCAGGCAAAAATAAAGAGACTGTCATATAGTGTCGTACAGTCTCCTGCAGATGATAGTATCAGCTGGAGTAATGATCATATGTTATTTCCTACATCCTGAATATTTTTCCTTTATTTACTGTCTGGTCATGTATTCATTGCAACAAAACCACAAGGCAATTACTCTTATAATTTGTACTTTATAGATGAGGCAATAAAGGCACCAAAGTATTAATTCATCCGAGATCACCCAGAGGTAAATAATGGAGAGGGGATTGCTTGTTTAGAAAACTTTGAACTTTATACAACCAGTTTTCCTCATAAGAATTCAACAATATTGACTGGGGAAGCCTACATGAGCAGTGTGTGTGCAACCAAGAAGGCTAGAGATTAGGTCCATTCATAATGCAGAAAAATATTTACTTCCTGATTTGTGGATTACTTCTAGTCCCTTTTGGCCCATTGTCAGCCAACTTGGATTATTTTTCTCTTCATAGGCCCTTCCACAGTCATAGCTGAGATAAGACAACAGATAATGGAATGCTGATTAACATATGGTCATCTGGTCTACTAAGCAAAGTAGTTGAGCAAAAGCCATGACTCATCCAATGAGGTTAGAGAGTCTAATTTCTCTAGAATTTCATTCTAGTACATCAACTATGCCAATAGTTATAATAATCCCATGCCACATGTTCATACTCATCTGTCCTCTCCAAGTTTGTATTCATTTTAGAAAGCAGAATGTCTCATCTTTCTTTTCAGGGGTTCTACAGGAGATGGACAATGACTGAATCCATATAGTAACTTGGTCAGAGGAGCTCCTAGCCTTGGGTAAGTTGTGGTTTGAGTTAGGTGTTCCATGTCTCGTTGACACCACATATAGAAAGCTATTGCAATGACAGCCCTTCTTCATGTCCATCCACCATCACAAGTCTGCAGTACAAGATTTTAGTATTTTTGTGTCCTAGCTGGAGTGAGCTGAACACTTGTTTCTATTGGCCTGCAAGGCAGTGAACTTATTTTCTAGCTACAGATTATCTTGTTTACTGATCACTGACTGCACTGCAATTGTCAAAGGTAAGCACTTCACATGTCATGTCACCTTGATGTCCCACAGTTCCAAACAGTAGGTGTTGTTACCCTTAGTTTACAAAGGCCAAACAGAGATGTAAAGAAACAGCAAATCTGGTCTTGAAGACACAGATTTGCTCATTTCTCATGTTTAAAACAGAAGAGTGCATAGAGTGCATAGAGAAATAGACTTAAAAGGAGTCAGTGACGTTTGGGGAGATGGCTCAGTAGACAGGACAATTTGCTAAACAAGCATGAGGGCCCAAGTTCAGACCTCTAGCATCCACCTACAAAGCTGAGCATGGCTGAATGTGCCTGCAAAGCTGAAGTTCAGGTTCAGTGAGAGACCCTGTGTCAAGAGAAAGTGGGAAGTGATAGAGAAGGGCACCAGCCACCCTGCTCTGGCCCTCCCCATACTTTCATGATTGCTTAGGTATTAGTTTTAATTCTTTGTAGCATAGTTTGCAGGGACACAGCAAGGACTCAGTAGGATTTTCTCACTTTATTAGTTAGCAACCTGCTGGTTTAATCTATCAATGGCTTACAGTGTCTTTTTACAGTATCTAAGAGGCACAAAAAATTGCCTCTCAGTTCAGAGACATCATGTGTTCACATAAGCTGCCAAGTCAGTATTAAATTGCCTGCTGCTGTGCCGTGACATACCTGCAAGATGCAACTCGTAATATCAGATGCGATTTTTGCATGTGGAGTGTCTTCGTCTTTCCCTGCAGGTCTCAGGTTGTGTTCCAAGCAGGAATCCCACAGTCCCACCAGGGCCCTGGCATGCTTTTCAATGGATTCCGTTTCTCTGATGGCTGTTGTGATCCTTGTGATACAGATTTCAACCACTGCCTGGTCATTATTATTAGTTTGGTAATCCTATTTAGAAAGAAAACCTTCAAGTTAATAAGCACTCTGGAAAGTTGTCCTTAAAAGGAAACAGTAATGAGTCATTTTGAAAATGCTGTGTGTCACTGTGTGCTAAGGAGTGAGGCTGTAAAACCCTTTACAGTTGGCCTTCCTCTTATGGAAGAGGCAGAATATAGATCCAAGCACCTGCTGTCACTCATAAAAGGGAGGGTGACAGCTGGCCAGAGGAGCTGGATCATTAGTGTGCAAGCAGGTGACTCCTCAGGTCATTTTGGTTTCAAGTCCCTACGAGATAGAAGTTACTTTTTTTTTTTTTACAGTAATTTTTATTTTAGTCATGTATATGGAAAAAAACTCACATTACTTTATAATTTTCCCTTATCAGCTCTTTTTCAGAATCCAATAGAACACAGTGTTTCATTTCCTCCTTTTCAACTCCAGTAAGTAACAAACCCAAGTTAGCTTTCTCCACTCAAATTTCCTCCCTTCTCCTTGTCTTAATTACCTCTCAAATATGTCATCATCTTCACTAAGAAAAGTATGGTCTCTTAAAATTTTTAAATGCAAAAAACAAACATACATGACAAAAATGTTTATTGCTTTGAGTTGGGAAATGGGTGTTACTGAACACCACAATGGGAGTTTCACAGAGTAGGAGACTAAAAGTAGGCAAGCATTCAGACGCCTGAACCATCCCATTCAGTTGGCCTGCTAACATCACTCCTAACATCATTTTTTACTGTTACTGTTACAATGGGGGGGGGGAATAAACACCTCAAACCCCCATCTACACATGTACCCCAGGCTTCTTTCTCCAGAGGAGTAATTTTCCGAGGCAAAGGACAGTAATAATTTGGAGGCTCTTACTACATATTACTAAATTACCCTCAAGGATGACCTCACTAATTTAAAGTCCCATTGTCTGGGTAAAAATATAACACCTTCATTGTGCTTTTGCAGGAACAAAGTATTTTTAATGTTTGCTAATTTAACCAGTGGAAAACAATATCTCATTACTGTTTGGCATAGGCACTTTCTTGAATCAAAGTTAGGATGATATCTTCATGTGTTTATTGGCCATTTGTATTTCCTCCATTGGGAATCAGGCAACAAGTGTTAGGTCTCTTTTTTCTTAGCTGACTTCACTTTCTTTTTGATCCTCCTTTGGAACAATATTTTTTCCTACTAAAGATATTAAGGCAACATTTGAGTTAGAAGTCTGCATATGCTTCATCATTCCTTTTCAAAACTGCTAAATATTTATTAACAGAGTAGGAGTTTGGAGAGTTAAATCAATTGAGTTTTGTATTTTTTATTCCTGTTCTGGAATAATCTTTTCCAGTGAAGATGTGTCACTCTGTTTGGTTTAATAAAAAGCTGAACAGTCAATTTTTTGGGATAGTAATACAAATTATGACAAAAATAGTTTCAGCATAAAACTTTGAACTAAGATAGGCTAGATAATAGAGGACTTTGTCAAAATTTGCCAAATACAAGTGGACTGGACATCGTAAATGTATTTCTTACCTGATAATCACTCTTATTGTATATAATTTTACTATGCTAGAGTTAAAACTTGTCCTTTTTATTAGACAAAAAGGAAATATTTTGAAATTTTTTTTTTTACACAATGTGAAGATTGTGTCACTTTGGCTGGTTTAATAAAAAGCTGAATGGCCAATAGCTAGGCAGGATTTTTTGGTCAGAGAGAATGCTGGGAAGAAGAAGGCTTCATCTCCAGCCAGATGCAGAGAAAGAAGGATGTACAGGACGAGAGCTAACAGCCAGGAGGCACGTGGCAGGACATTAATAAAAATGGGTTAATTTAAATTATAAGAGCTAGTTAGAAACAAATCTAAGCTACTGGCCAAGATTTCAAAATTTATAATAGTCTGTGTGTCATGGTGGAACAGAAAAATCCACCTACGTTTTCTTTCCAAGATTAGAAACTTAAACTGTTTAGTGTTTTTGTATGTAAATCTTTAAACAGTTTTATTTCATTTTATGTGTATGGGTTTTCTGCATGCATGTCCATCTATGCAACACATGAATGCCTAAAGAGGACAGAGAGGGTTTCAGATCTCCTAGGACTGGAGTTATAGATGGCTATGATCTGCCACATGAGTGCTGGAATCCAAACTTTAGTCCTCTGGAAGAACAACCAGTACTCTTAACCACTGAGCCATCCAGCTCCAAATTCTTATTAACTTAAAAGATAAGGCATAGCTATGGTACAAATGACACAGAAAACAAGGTTGGCAGTGCAGAGCAGAGCCGATAAGCCCCATCTGCCCTGCTCCTCAGCCCCCAGTTCCCTTCTCCAGTGGAAACATGCTCTCTAGTGCCTTGTGTTTCACAATGGCATCCACAGCAACTCAGAAATCATCCACCTTCTTTGTGTGAACCCTTTAAGCACATCCTAAACACAATTTATTTTTAGTTTTATTTTTTACGAGTGTTAATGTGTTAATGTTTTGCCTGCATGTATGCCTGTGCAACACTTCTATGCCTGATTCATGGAGGCCAGAGGAGGGCATTGGATTCTCTGGAACTGGAGTCATGAATGGTTGTGGGGTACTGCATGTGTGCTGGGAACTGAACCTGGGTCTTCAGGAAAAGCAACCAGAGCTCTTAACTTAGTCCCGTCACCCATAAATGACGAAATGTACAGATTGTCAGAATTACAGTTGATTAATTTTGCAGAATATAAAATCACTAAAAAAATGTCTTTGGTACTAATAACATGGCTAAGTGGTGAAGCATTTACTGATCTGAGTTCATCCCTAGGATTCACATTAAGTGGAAGGACAAAATGAACTATACAAAGTTGCCCTCTGACTGTCACACACACGCTAGGCTTTCACACTCCTATCACACCTGTCATAGTACAACAATATCAAATAAAGTAATTGCATTACATTCACTTGAAAAGAAGTAAAAAAGACTTAAAATGTCATCTTTAGCCCTAACTAAGAATATATGATGCTTGCACACTTAGAGAAAGATGCACATCACTTAAATAGTGCCCCTGGAGGTTCTGTTCCCAGCACCTGAGTGATAGCCCACAACCATCCATAGCTCCAGTTCCAGAGCATCCAGTGTCCTCCTCTCTCTTCCATGAGCATGAGACATACATACAGGGGAAAAACTTAGGGAAAAAACCCCACACAATTTTGTTTAGAAGATATTAAAGGAGACTGAAATAAGTGAATGGTAATGCAATGTCTCCAGCAAAGAAAACCCTGACATTGTGGTGTTAATATTTTTCAAAATAGTTTGTAGATACAAAGAATTTCCAATCAGCATATTATCAGAATCATTCATGAAACTCTTAGAGAATAAGAACAAACCAGAGCAGATTTTGGGTACACTTGTCTAACCAGGCATACACAGTAAGGGACAAGCTTCATTCTGGAATACTCGATGTACAACAGGCATAAGTGACAAAGAACCGTATAAGAACCAAAAAGAACCTGGTCTTATCCAAGACCAGGCTACAGAAACCCACAGAGACAACTGGCCTGAACAAGGGGGACCTCATGGCCCCCATACTGATAGCTGGGAAACCAGCATTGGACCAACTCAGACCTCCTGAACACTGGAAGGCCTGGGCAGTCTAAGGGACCTCTGACAGTGGAACCAGGATGTATCCCTGGTGCACAAAAGGACTTTGGGGGCACATTTCCCATGGAGGGACACTCCCTTAACCTAGAGGAAGGAGAGAGGGCCTAGTCCCTACTCCAAATGACTTGACAGATTTTTGTTGATCCTTCCTGGAAGGCATCTCCCTCCCTATGGAGCGTGTGTGTGTGTGGGGGGGGGGGGTGAGATGATAGGGTGGTCAAGGAAGGGAGGGAGAGGGAACTGGGATCGATATGTAAAATAAGAAAGAAGTAAAAATAAATAAATCATCTAAGGCAAAAAAAAAAAAAAAAAAAAAAAAAAAAAAAAAAGAAAAAAGAAAAAGAAAAAGAAAAAGAAAAAGAAAAAGAAAAAAAGAACCAAAAGAACATTAAAGCCCTTTGAAAGAAAAAAGAAATTAAGCCAAGTGTGGTGCTGCACACCTGTAATCCTAGAACCTGAGAGGCTGTGACAACAGGATCTAGTTCAACTCTATTTGGACTACATAGCCAGTGCTAGGCCAGCCTTTTTCTGCAAATATGATGTTGTCTCAATACCCTTCCCTACAACAAAAGAGAAAGAAAGCAAATGACTAGAGACAACACTTTATACAAACCCAAGTGGCAAATGGTACATGAACACATGAAGAATACTTGCCCTTACTAGTAATGATGAGGTATCAATTTAATTTGCATTTACATACTGCTTCACTAAACTTTCTTAGATAAAAAAATAAGTTTCAACACCTGATAGATGTAGGGAGCTGATGATGAAAGCAACCTGAGCCTTCATACACCCTTCATATTAGAAAGCAATTTGGTGCATATTAAAATATTGGAAGTTTAACTACTATTTAAGTAGTGAAGGTCAATCAAAAAGAAGAATGGACAAATAGTGGTACGTCCATATAATAGAATATTACATCCACTACATGAATGAAGCTACATGTACCCAGCTAGATAAATTAAAAACAATATCAAAACTATAAAAGTATTTATATAAAGTTTAAATTTTTTTCTAGTTTTTATATACTTCTAAGATTCTCAGTGTAAAGAAAAACAACTGGTCTTAAAAATCTGTGTGTTTCAGATATTATGATATACACCAAAAAACTTTTAAATTTTTTCTAGTTTTTAAACCTTATATAAAAGTTTAACTATTAACTTTAAAGTCATGCATTTCTAATGTAGAAATTGAACAACACATGACTAAATACCACAGTCCAGTTACAGGTTAACTTAAGGATCTAATGGAGGACATTGTATTGGAAAGAAATATGCAAGAATTTCAATTGTGCCAAATCTCACTTTCTCCCTTCCTTCCTCTACTTCCTTCCTTCCTTCTCTCTCTCTCTCTCCCTCCCTCTCTCTCTCTCTCTCCCTCCCTCT